TCATCTATCTGTTCTATCAGTCTATCTATCTATCTATCTATCTTATCTATCTATCATTTTAGATCTGTTCATCTATTCCATCTATCTATCTATCTATCATCTATCTATCATCTATCTATCTTAGTCTGTTCATCTATCTATCTCAGTCTCTATCTAACATTTATACTGTTCACAGTCGAGGTGGCTAATATAGACTGACATCTATCTACGCAAACTATCTATCTATGTACCTTTCTATCTATCTCATTCATTCCCATACCCGGCGAGGTGGCTAATATTGACATCTATCTATCTATCTCATTCTATCTATCTATCTATCTATCTATCTATCTATCTATCTATCTATCTCAGTCTGTTAACATCTACACTACGGCGAGGTGGCTAATATTGACATCCCTCGGAAACTTAAGGATGCATGCAGACACGGTAGGGCAATGGACTGCGGCTGGAGAAATTGGAGAGCAGAGTTGGAATTCCAGTCGAGTTCATTACATTCACTTACATAAAGAGAGGTATGAATCCATCTCTTCGCCCTCCCCCAACTAGGGGTAAAATAGCTAGACAGGGTTCTGTAGCCTTGGATGCTAGCCGGTGTAGGAGAAGGAAAACAATTCAAAACTTCCAATTATGGGTAAATAGTAGAGCAGCCTGGGCTCTATAGCCATGATTGGCAACCAGACTAGGAGAAGGACAACTCTAAATTCAAATTCAGAGCCGGCGTCACTAAGACAGTCCGATGTAGTGTTCAATTACATTCTGATAAGTACTGTGATGACGCCGGCGCCAGGCTTCACTGGGCTTAGTCTTTCTTTCTTTCTTTCTTTCTTTCTTTCTTTCTTTCCATGTTAAACAAAGCCCGAATAGTTCCTTTGAACACACACACTGCCGATTCTAGAAACATCCAAAAACAGAGCTTCTACTCGAAATGAGTATTAATCGAAAATAATGTTTAAAAAAAATTATGTCGGTTTTATTCTTCTATATCATATATATATATATATATATATATATATATATATATATATATATATACACCTCCGAAAAATTAATTTTGGTCGAGCACTCTGGAGAGAAAGTGCGAATTTGTAAACAGTGACCTCTACTGCTGATAATGCAAAGCACTTCTATGAATTGAGCTCTCTCGGTCACTGGCGTGTTTATAGTAAAATCTCCGACTGATGCCAGATCAGTCGGGTTCGGATCCCGGCTTGAGGCAATTGGATGTCTAGCCACACTGATGAGCTGTGATACAGCGAAACATTCTGTCTGTAGATGACATTATATATATATATATATATATATATATATATATATATATGTTTTTTTTTATAGATAAAAGTGCTTAAGTAAATGCTCTATTGATAATAATCAGTATTAACAACATTAACAGGCCTGAATGTCCCAGAAATTTCATAGAAAATATGTGTCCTCCGACAGGAATTGATCCTGTATCCTATGCATAACATATAATGTCATTTGTTTACGTTAAGATGTGCAGATATGAGCGTAGAAGAGAAATCATGGGAAATTTGTAGTTTAAAAGCAGATATTTGACCTTGCTAACCAGACGCCTCTGTAGCTAAATGTAGCACGTCAGGCTTATGGCTGTTCCATGTAGGAATCTGGAAATCTGATCTACCAGACAGCCACAGTCGGAGATTGTTTCGAGCCATTGTAGAGGCGGTGTTAATGCATGGTGCCACTGCTTGGACATTAACTAAAACCCAAGAGTCTAAGCTTGATGGAACCTACACTCGGAGCTATACTTAACATCTCTTGAACCGTTCTGGGTATGATGATAAACTACATCCGCGTCCTGGGTAAGACGATAAACTACATCCAACAGCAAGGTCGCTGATCAGGAGGTGCAACCACCTCTAAATTGTTGGTGTTCCTAGTCCCACCCTGACCCATCTTGACCCGGGTTGTTAGCTAGAAAGAGAAAAGGTTAAAATCGTTTTGTGTCACACTCACTGTCTTCTCAACGGAGCAATGTCGAAAGGAAAAAGATCATTCAGGCCTTCATGGTACCAACATTCATACTGAGGCTTCCATCTTCAAAGTCTATTCAAGAGCTATCACGAGAACTGCGTCCTGGGTACGACGATAAACTACGTCCGATAGAAAGGCATCTGATGTAGAGGTCTTAAGGAGCATGTAACAACCCCTTAATGGTTGGTGTTCCCAGGTCCACCCTGACTCAGGGTGGTAGCATCTGTTAGGGTACCAGCTATGGGCAAAAATCTAACCCCCCAAACTTGGGTTAAGAAACTATGAAAGCGTAAAAATAGGTTATAATACCAGAAATAGTTTGTAAAAAGACAACATCCAAGACACAGTTCTATAGCCCAGTCCCTTAGATTTCTACAAGCTTAGGTGAATGTGCAATATATAGGGACTTCAAAATATTCGCTAAAAAATAAACAGACATGATTTTTAAAAATAACCTAAACTTAATAAAAACAAAGTTTTATCCTCAAAATCTTTGTTATTAAAGACTGACTGACTCAGTGTGGTAGCACCTGTTAGGGTCCCAGCTATGGGCAAAAATTTAACCCCCAAACTTGGGTAAAGAAATTAAAAGCAAAGCGTAAAAATAGGTTATAATACCAGAAATAATTTGTAAAAAATTATTACCAGCAATTCATTATTACCTGCAATACATTATTACCAGTAATACATTTAAAAAAAAAAATACCAGCTATACATTTTTGAAAAAAAAAATATTACCAGCAATAAAAATTTTGTCGGCATTAAATAACCCATTGAGGTGTTGATATGCCATAAAACAAGACGAACCGAACCAAACCTTCTCTTGAAGACATCATCCAAATCACAGTTCTATAGCCCAGTCCTTGAGATTTCTACAAGCTTACGTGAATGTAGATTGCGCTTTGCAAGACACTGTTAGCGAGCAAAGCAAGAACTAGCAGTTGATCTACTGCTCTGGACACGTGACCATGGAGGAAGACCGGTTTGTTGCCCAGCAACCACCTACATTGACCAGCAATGTTATGACACAGAATGCCAACTTTTCGACCTTGATGCAGGACCGAGATGGTTGGCGTGATAAACTTATGAATATCTAATCTAGCTCAACCGAATAATTTAAACTTTTAAACGTAATTGCAATATATAGGGACTTCAAAATATTCGCTAAAAAATAAACAGACATGATTCTTAAAAATAGCCTAAACTTAATAAAAACAAAGTTTTATCCTCAATCTTTGTTATTAAAGACCAAAGGATTTTTTGATTATTAAATTATATTTTTTTACCCTTTGTAGAACTTTCAAACTTGTGTCAACGAGTGACCATAATGTATAAGAAATTTTAGCGTCTTTTTGCAGTGAAAAACGAATTGATTTGAAAATAATTGCAAAAATTAAATAACGATTTTAATGAAACTTTCAGGACTTATTCACAAATGAATGAAATTATTTTTGAAACGTTTCTCTTTTAGAAAATCTTGGTAATTTTTCTGTTTTTTTTACATCTTACTTGACTCTTGTTTATATTACTGTTGCAAGTAATTAAAACTAAGACATCATTTAATTAGAAAAGCTTTTAATGAAACTTTCAAGACTTATTCACAAATGAATGAAATTATTTTTGAAGCGTTTCTTTTTTAGAAAATCTTGGTAAAAATATTCTATTTTATGTCTGTTTAACTCCCACATTTTTAATTTTAGGAAATTTTGAGAAATTCATTCAATTCTTATATTAGTTATAAGCACAAGTCCTTGGAGAATTTAAATCATCAGTTTTTTTTGTCAAACATGATCCCAGTTAGATAAATTCTGCTTTGAAACGTAAAATAAAAAAAAAAACTATTTAATTAGGAAAGCTTCTAATTGTTTTTAGAAATGAAATATATTATGGACACCATTGTCTTAAGAAAATAAAATCGATGAGTAATGAATTTTTACGAAAATTGTTTTAATTTTTTTAAAAATCGGAAATAACATCGTAACACATTATCTTTTGACACTCAGAAAAAAAATAAACAAAAGACAGAAATTGAATAAATTTTATGTTCATTTGATATCTTAGGGCGATGGCGGTTATTATATATATATATAAAAAAAACAATTGAAAACCGGTGATCCATTTTATGTGTAGTTGAATGAGACAAGGAGATTATGAAAAGAAAAAATAAACACGGCATCCTACACATGCGCACATATTGACACGTACAAGCGTGCACAGACACGCATAGGTGCGCGCACACACACACACACACGAACACACATACGCACACACATACGCACACACTCGCACATGCGCACAAACGCACATGCGCACAAACACACATACAAAGAATAAAAATCAACCTAATATCAAGAAAAACGCACATAAATTATTTTTTTTAACTTAATATAGAAATAACGAAAACAAAAAAAATTGGCAGACATTTGCTGATATCCCCTGACGAGTGGACACTCCGGAATAGAATTTTTTTTTTTTTTTTTACGGTATATCAATATCAACCTCAATGGGTTATTTAATGCCGACATGATTTTTATTGCTGGCTATATTTTTCTTTTTCAAAAATGTACTGCTGGTAGTAATTTTACCAAAAGTGTACCGCTGTTATTAAAACCTATTTTTTTTATACTTTTATAATGTTTTGACACTCTTTGTGGGGGTAACTATTTACCCATAGTTGGGACCCTGACAGGTGCTACCACCCCGGCTCAGGGTGTCCCTGGGAACACTAGCAATTAAGAGGTGGTTCCTGAAATCCTCCTGGTCAAAGGCCTTGTTGTCGGGTGTAGTTTATCGCCAGACCCAGGACGGCGGAGGAGAGGTGCTGAATATAACATCAATCATCTAAGTGCCATTTTTAAAATTTGTGTCAACCCTATTATAATAATTTATGAAGTTTTAAATCTAAAAATTCTGTATTAATTTGTACTGTTTAAGTGATACTGTTATTAATTAAAAACTTAATCCTAAATAGAAAACCTTACTACAGTACAGCGACACCCAGTATTTAAAAATGAATTTTTAATTTTCTTGTATGTGCATAAACATGACGAAAATAGGAGCGGTTTAAAATTTATAGGTCATTTTCTAACATTTCCTCATAAGCGTCTTCATAAGTAAGACTATAAACTAAAGGATCTAAATCTCAATAAAATATAGAATATTTTCCTATTTTTTAAAGATTACGGGGTAGTTAAAAATGATTTAAAACGGCGTTCATATTATATTTGTGAAGTAGTTGTCTAACTTAGAAATAATCCCCAAACATAAGTCTATCGAGAGAGTTATCAATACCTCTTAAAAACACCCACCACCGTGTTAAAAATGCTTAAAAATGTTTAAACTAAAAGTAATATTTGTTTCAAATTAGATTAATTAAACTTTAAATCCTCAAATAAAGTTTCCTAAAGGTATATTTTATTTTTGAAAGATTTTTGATAAAGAAAATTACGTTGTTTTGACAGACTAAGAAATATGGACGATTTCAGCATTTTTCCTGATAATAAAAAATATTCCTATCACTTTAAATTCAGTTTGAAATACAGCAATAGACCCTAGAGTTTGAAATCGACTACTTTGGGACCCATATAATGGTATTTACTTGATTCCCACAAAGTCAAGATGTGACACAAGGTCGTTTAACGTGGGAGACCTGGGAGAGTGTTTTCAAAGGCCACTGGTCCAAAACTGGTCATAACTTGTCCAAGCTGGTCAGAGCCTAGTCAAAGCTGGTCATGACTTGTCCTAGGGAAGTCCTTAAAAAGCCTTGATCGAATCTCAGCCATAGGCCAAGAAACGATCCAATATTTGTCAAAAACCCCAACGAAAAAGTTTGTTACTTAAAAACAATGCAATACCAATCCCCCATTTTATGCGCAGTAAATATACGTAGTGACCTTAGTGGGTCCGGTTTATTACTTAAAAGCAATAGAAGCCGACCCCCCATTTTATGTCCACTTGTCATTTTAGAGCGACGGGGTTATTTCAAAACAATTGAAAATCGATGCCCAATTTAATGCCCCGTAGAATGTATGTATTTACTCTTGTGGGGGGGTATCATTTTATTATTAGAAGTCAGACCCCCCCGACAAGTGCCCTAGAGAGTCGTTCTGGATAACCATGGTCATCAACGTCTTGAAAGTTCATAGCAGAAAGAGAGAAGGGGGAGAGAAAGAGGGAGAGATGAGGGGAGGAAAGGGGGAGAAAGAGAGAGTAATATGCATGACGGGTGTTCGATGAAAGAGTCGATGGTCTAAGAACTCTGGGGTCACCCTACTCTAGGGTTAGATATTTTACTGAATTTTAAACAGTGTGCTCTCTTTTCTATTTAAAATAAAATTGAACGCCTCTCGGACAGTGTTTCCTAACCATTTCTTCTTCATCACCCCCCCTTTTTAGATATTTGCACATTTTGCTACGCCCAATATTAAAATTGCACTGGTAAGCGGAGCAGAGTAAATACGACAAAATTAATGTCACTTGCTTTGTTGTTTCTGCGTTAAAGCAACGCCAATCACATTCTTTTACATACTAAAGTTCAACCAATAAAAGGCCCAAGAGCCGCTCGTAGCAGAGTGTTACTGGTTAACCCTGCTCCACGGTGAAGCGCCCAACTTTGTCAGTGTACTGTTTGACCTTTAAGAACAATTCAGTGCACAAGTCATTTTGTTGTTTTTAATTTTACGGGCAACTTCGGTTCGCTTATTTGATTAATTCTATCAGTCGAGAAAAAACTAATTAAACTCTCTATACGGACGGCTGATTATCTTTCTCGAGTTGTGACAATCTGTACCGAGTGACGATACGGTATTTGGCTGAAGGGGGTGGGTAAAGATTTGGGAGTGGCCCAGGCAAAGCTAAAGTTTAAAGGCCTGAGAGAAGGAAAGAAAAAAAAAGGACAACGGGAGGAGGAAAATGATAAACAATGAGTGAAAAGAGAGAGAGAGGGGGGAGAGGGGGAGGGAGAGAGAGAGAGAGAGAGTAGCAGAAAGAAGGAGTGGGAAAAAGAAAATGAATAAATTGGGGAGAGAGAAAAAGAAATACGTAGAAAGAGAAGGAAATATACAAGAGAAGGAGAGAGGAGTAGAAAGAGGAGAAAAACGAGAGATGAAGAAGGGGAATAGAAAAGGGAGAGAAAGAAAAAGAGAGAGAGAGAGAGTTGAAAGAGAAAAAAAAGGATAAAGACAATAAAGAGGAGAGTGAAGAAATAGGAGAGAAACAGTAGAAAAGGAAACGAGAGTAGAAAAAGCAGAGAGAGAGAGAGAGAGATAAGGAAAAAGGAAGAGTGAATGAGAGAGAATGACTAAATGACAGAGAGAGAAAATGAGAGAGAAGAAAGTTCAAGAGACTAGAAAAGGAAGACGGCATACAAAAGAAAGAAAAAAAGAAAGAAAGAAAGAAAGAAAGAAAGGAAGAAAGGAAGAAAGAAAGAAAGAGACTGAGTAATCATAAAGAGAATAAAAGAGGAAAAGAGAAAGAAGAGAACGGTGGGGAGGAGAAAGAAGAAGAAAGAAATTACAAAGACTGAAGGGTAGAGAGAAAGAAAGAAGTAGAAAGTGAGAGAATGCAAAAGAAAGAAAGAAAAAAAGAAAGAAAGAAAGAAAGGGAGTATAAAGAGAAAGAGAAGAAAAAGAGAAGAGAGAAAGAAGAGAAGGGTAGGAAGGAGAAAGAAGAAAGAAGAAGAAAGAAATTTCAAAGACTGAAGGGAAGAGAGAAAAGAAAGAAGTAAGAGAGAGTACGAAAGAAAGAAAGAGAGGGAGAGAGAAAGGGTATAAAGTTAAGAAAAGTGAGAAAAGGAGAAGAGAGAAAGAAGAAAACAGTGGGAAGAAGAAAGAAAAAGAAAGGAGAAGAAAGAGATTTGAAAGACTGAAGGGAAGAAAGAGAGAGAGAGAGAGAGAGAGAGAGAGGGAGAGAGCAAGAAATAAAGAGAGAGAAAGTAAGAGAGAAATAGAGTAGAAAGTTTATTGAAAAAAAGAACGAGAAATATGAGAAACGAGCGAGCGAATAAAAGAGAATGAGTAGAAAGGGAGAGGGACATACAAGAGAAGAAATAGAGGAGAAAGAAGAAACCAGAGAGAGAAAGACTTGAAAGAGTGGAGGAGAGAAGAGAGAGGATAGAAAGCAGAAAGAGGAGAGAGAGAGAGAGAGAGACAGAGAGAGAGAGAGAGAGTTGAAAAGAGGAAAGCGTGTAGAAATGTAGAGAGGGAAAGAGAGAAAAATAAAGATGCAATAATGAGAGAAAGGAAGTAGAAAAAGAGTGAGAGAAAAAAGATATGAAAGAGAATGAGCGAAAAAGAGGAAAGAGAGAGAGAGAATGAGAGAGAGAGAGAAAGAATGAGAGAGATAAAGAAAGTGAGAGAGTGAGAAAGAGGAGAATGAGAGAGTGAGAAAGAGAGAAAGAATGAGAGAGAAAGAAAGAGAGAGAATGAGATAGTGAGAAAAAGGGAGAATGAAAGAGAGAGAAAGAGAATGAGAGAGAAAGAAAGAGAGAGAAAGAGAGAGAGTGAGAAAGAGAGAGAAAGAGAGAGAGAGAATGAAAGAGTGAGAAAGAGAGAGATTGAGAGAGAAAGAGAGAGAGAAAGAGAGAGTGAAAAAGAGAGAGAATGAGAGTGAGAAAGAGAGAATGAGAGAGAAAGAAAGAGAGAGTGAGAAAGAGAGAGAATGAGAGAGTGAGAAAAAGAGAGAGAGAGAAAGAGAAAGAGAGAGCGAGAATGAGAGAGTGAGAAAAGAAAAAGGGGGAAAGAGTGCAAAGGGAAATAGACATACAGTAGAAGAGGCAATAAAGCCGCTAAGATCCAAAAGGTTACTGGGTATGGAAGAATTAGAAATTAAACAGTTTAACAATATGTACGCTTCGTAAAAAAATTGGTCCTGCACAGCAAGAATAAAACATCCGGTTTTAGCTTTTAACCATTGATGGGTACAAATTATCATCTTACTTATTATAAAACGCATATCTTGTGTGTGTGTGTGTGTGTGTGTGTGTGTGTGTGTGTGTGTGTGTACGTTTATATATTGGATCGGATTTCCTACATTTTTCAACTGATTTCAACAAAACTTCACAGGACTACATAAAATTACCTTGTGGTGGTTCTAACAGCGCCAAATATTAGAAAAACACAATTGTTTTTGCACGAAATCAATTTGAAAACACGATAAAACACCATTCTGTCGCCAGAATGAAAGGGGGACAACTCATATCGAGTTATACTTATTATAAAACCCAGGTTGTTTGTGTGTGTGTGTGTCTGTTCGTTTATATATGGGATCGGATTTCCTATATTTTTCAACCGATTTCAACAAAACTTCATTTTTTTGGCAGGTAGTGTTTCTTATTGTCTTGCACACTTTTTTCTTTATTTTTACATTCAGAATGCTTTAAAAATTCCATTTACAAGACAATTGTTTATAATAAAATTCTATTCAATCGGTAGACTCATAACGATTGAAAACAATGTTTTTGTTTGAGTTTGACCAATTCGTAAAAAAAAAAAAAAAAACAACTAATTAAGACATGCGTGTCCGTCAACCTTAAACAATAATCTTTGTCAATTTTATATTTTCAGTCTTTATGATGGTCGATACTTGATCTGTCTCTTACTGTAATATCCCCGGGCAACGCCGGGCTCTACTGCTAGTTGTTATTATTATTATTTTGAAAGGGCCCCTAAGTCGGGGTAGGTACTTTTCAGAGTCCCACGTATTTGTGTTCCCTAGCCTTTGATTACTGAGACGCATAACAATCGGGGTTTTTACTTACCTCATTGAAATATAAAAACTTCACCAATCCTTTAATAACCAAACTTTTAAACAAAATCAATATTTTTTTTTAAGCATTTCACCCCAAGCAAGGCGGGAAGCCACTAGGACGCAAGTGGTTACAGAAAATTTGGAGCAAGATCAGATAGGAGTGATAGAAGAAAGGATGAGGAGAAGGGTAGTGGATAGATCAAGGCAACTGGAGATGTCGACTGACATTACATTTGAATAGTTGGAGATTATAGCTCTCAGGGAAACTAGAATAGCGAAGGGAGTTCCACAGGCGAGAGGTGCGAGACATGAAGCTATTGGAGTAGAAGCGGCGGCTACATTTAGGAGTTTCGACAGTGAAGGGATGAGAGCGGGATGCCAGCCTCGTCGGGCGCTTGAACTCATGAAGTCTCCTGGTCATGAAAAACACACCATGTTCTTCTAGATCCGTAGCCACATAGGCAATCCAGAGAAATAGGAAGGCAGATATGGTAGCTAAAAAATGACTAAAAATGAATATATATAAAACAAAAGCCCCTCATACAGATTTCAAAACAGCTATTGATACATATATTTTAAATAAGTGACAAGGGCTATGGAATAGTCACCTAAATAATAAATTGTAAAAAACTCTACATTTGGAATAAGACACCATAAAACTACATTTTCCCGAAGAGAAGTAGTAGCCTTATCAAGAATCAGAATTGATCATGCCAATATTACATTTTCATTCCTTCTCAAAGATGAGGATGAAGGAGACATGCACAGTAAAACATTTTATGATGGCCTGTGTTGAATTTGCCTCTATCCATAAATAGCTTTATAAGGTGAATAGCTTTAAGGAACATTTCGAAAACGTTTTTGACTTACTTGAGGAAAAGTAAATTATCCAGCAAACTTTAACCCAGACAGCTTCACCTACATACGAGCTATTTTCAACGACACTCCATGAATTATACAAAGTATCATCGAATAAAAAATCCGATTTTCAGTATTAAATGTCTTAAGAGGGTTGATATGGTGATATGGCACAAAGGGGTTCCCAGTGAGGATCGAAGTCCCTATTCATCTGTAAACTGATCTAGCGAGACAAGCTTGCCAACCACGTCGAGGTGCCTCCCAAGAGGATTGATATACTGGTAAATCAAAGCAAACCAATCAATCGGGGTCAACCTCTGATCCAGAACGAGGCTATCCAATAAAACATGGATGGAGATGACAAAGACGAAATCGTAGTCAAGACATGGAATATAGGAATTTAGAAAATGTCAAACAGGAAAGAGGGTCTGGAGAATTTAACACCCACAAGACTTATTGAACCAATGAGTTGTCTACTTAGTAATTTGACATGAATGGGTGGTAGAACAGGGACAAAAAGTAATGGCAAAAGTAGCAAAAATAGGAAGCTGGGGAGAGCCACTGATCTTCTTGAAGGGACATGTCACATAAAAGAAAAACGTACTGATGAGAATACATAACAATTAGAAAGTTTGTATTGCGCCAATTTCCCAAGTGTAAAGATTGTATGATTAGAATATCAACAAAAGCAACAAAAATAGGAAGTTGTGAAGAGCCATGATTGCCAACATCTTGAAGGGACATGTCACATAAAAGAAAGTGTTAACGTCATAGTCGTGATGAGAATATATAATTAGGAAGATTGTATTACGCCAATTTTCCAAGTATAGAGATTGATTTGAATATCAACAATAGCAACAAAAATAGGAAGTCGTGGAGAACCATGATCATCAACGTCATGACTGGACATGTCACATAAAAAAGTGGTATTGTCACAGTCGTGGAGAGAGTATATAACAATTAGGAAGATTGCATTGCGCCAATCTTCCAAGTGTAGAGATTGTGTGAGTAGAATATCAACAAGAGCAACATAAAAAGGAAGTTGTGGAGAGTCATGATCGCCAACATATTGAAGGGGCATGTCACATAAAAGAAAGTGGTATCATCACAGTCGTGGTGAGAGTACATAACAACTAGGAAGATTGTATTGCGCCAATCTCCAAAGTCTATCAATTGATATTTGAGTATCAAGTAATGCATCTCTTACAATTCCATGAAGTTTCTGTTAGCCTCTTGCCAAGACTGGGATCACCCCACTTGTCCGACAAAGAGATTCTGCTAACGATCACTAGATGGCGTTGCTAAAACTAGTGTAAGTGATTTTTTTGTAGCCACAGGCTGCCTAAGAGAGAGGATGTGTCTTGCTTCCCCCCACCACCTCTGGGGTACCTTTCAGTTCACATGTCACCTTGAAAACAATAGTACACATGCAAGTATTATTTGATAGCACACTGGCATATCTAATAAGTTTAGCGAACCAACAACAAACTCTGAAAATGTAAGTCACTCATAATTTCATGGGAACTTTGTACAAATATACGTACGAGATAAAAAAAAATCACACACACACACACACGCGCGCGCAGACACACAGATACACATACACACGCAAACACATACATTCATTCACCTCTTTTGGAAACGACCCATTTAGTTTGGCAAGGTAATAAAATATATTGTTAATTGTACGTAATTGTTCGTATATTAATTTTTACCCACTTATTTGAAAGTACAACAATTTAAATATCTGGGAAGGACGGAAAGTGAGACACCAAAGTCAGAACACGCATTAGGACAACGAAAGATGCCTTCTAAAAGCTAAGCAAAGTATTAAGTAATACATAAATACCTCTAGAAACAAAGAAAAGAGTATTGAACTGTTACGTAATGCCAGTCCCCCCCCATATACGGTTGTACATACTGAAGGTACCAAGGGCCAAACATGTGAGCAACGACGAGGTTTTAGAGAAACAAAACAAAAAACAAAGAAATGGAAATAAAAAGGAAACATTAGAAAAAGAAAACTAAAATAATGACACATAATGAGGAAAGCGTGCTTGGAAAATTTGATACTCACAGGAGCGATTGATGGCAAGAGGGACAGAGGAAAAAAATGCATAACCTACCTAGCGAGCTTGTGTAAATGGATGGCAGAGGAAAGACAAAAAGACAAAATTTATTAAGAGCTACAAAGGACAGGAAATTGTGGAGAGCCATGACCAGCGACGTCCTGAAGAGACACGGCACAAAGAAGAAGAAGAAGAAGAAGAAGAACGGACGTGAGTAAATGGATGGTGGAAGAAAGTTTTAAGAGTGATAACAGAAAGACAAAATTTATTAAGAGCTACAAAGGACAGGAAATTGTGGAGAGCCATGATCGCCAACGTCCTGAAGGGATAGGGCATATAAAAGAAGAAAGAGCTTGAGTAAATGGATGGCGGAACAAGGTTCAGGAGAGATAACAAAAACAAAATTTATTAAGAGCTACAAAGGATAGGAAATTGTGGAGGACCATGATCGCTAACGTCCTGAAGAGATAAGGCACATGAAAGACCCGCTTATTTGAGGAAACGCCCATGCTTCCACAAATTTATCACTATCCCAGTAAAAGACGCACTTTGATATTAAAATGTGGCGCTAAGCCAGACATTAAATTTTAAAGATGTTCTAGCGCAAACATTTTTGGTTTGGGTTTTAATTAAAGACTTTTTAAGTCTACGAGGCTCGTCTGAAAAGTTCATAGGCTGACCAAGATGTAAATATAAGTCTACCATTCGTCCTTGCTTTGAATATTGCTGCCACATCGGCTGCTGCTGTATATTTAGAGATTCTTGAAAAAAATCCCCCAAAAGAATCTGCAATGTTATTAGTCCTGACTTGGCATCTCAGCTGAAGTCATTTTCCCACCGCCATAACATAGCTTTCCTTTTCTATAAATACTTTCATGGTAATTGTTCTGATGAATTTTCCACTTCTAACATTGTTTTGTATAGTTTCTTGTATAGAAATTTGTAAATATTCATTGGGGTTTCATTTTTAAAAGTTGACCCCCCCCAACAAATTGTACATATGGGAACTAGTTAGGACTTCATAGAGACATAGAGGTATTATGGTGACTGTAGTAAAAATGATAAGTAAGAATGTGGTGTTTTGGTG